TGTACCCAGTGCATGCATAAACAAAACAAACAAACAAATAAATAAATAATAAAACATGCCTCTATAAAAAAATTTAAAAAAAAGAAAAAAAAGTATATGCAAAGATACTCAGCCACTAACAATCAGGGATATGCAAATTAAAACCACAGGAGACATCATATGATAACACCATTGTTGGGAGGATATAAAGCAAACAGAACTATGGGTTGAAGGGCAAACACGGAAAAACAATTGGATAGTTTGGTCAAACTGAAGTTGCACACACTGAGCCCCACTCCTGGGGATGCACCCTGGAGGGGTGCCACCCGTGTCCCACTAGTGTTCATAGCAGCACTGCTTGTGGCAGCAAAATATCAGAAGTGAACCAAATGTCCATCAACAAAAGGAAGGAAAACTAATTCTCACGCAATGAGCATTATTCATCAGTGACAACAAAATATAACTATATGCAACATGGATTTAATCACAGGAACATAAGATAGCCAAAAAATGCAAGACATGGGAAAAATAATATGATTATATTAACCTCAAAAGCATGCAAAATTAGATAATACACTGCTTACCAATACAAATGTATGTGGTAAAAACACAAAGAAAGGCAAGATGGGCCTCCCTGGTGGCGCAGGGATTAAAGTTTCAGCACTATTCAAGCTATCCGCAGCCACTGCAGCATGAGTTACATCCTGGCCAGGGAGCTGACCCACACGGCGCAGCAGACCTCTCCTGACTCGCCCGCTGCTCCCCTCAGCAGTGTATTTCAGTCAGTCTGCCAGTTCTGTTCCCCACTCTGCCTCTGGTGAATCCTCTCCCCCACTGCTGGCCCCCCACCCCTGCACTTCTGGCCTGCATCCCAGCTCTTGTATGCATAAATAACTAAAATAAATCTTCAAAAAAAAGGGCAAGAGAATGACAGCAAAATTCAGGGATGACATGGGGCTGAGGATGGGATGGAGGAGGATCAAGGAATGGTAACATTCTTTTTTTGTAAATTGGGGGTAGGAGTACATGGGTGTCTTTGTATCCTTATTCCTTGTACCTTAACACATTCTTTTGTATCCACTCAATATTTAGCAAAAACAATTTACAAAATGAAAGTGCTCTGACTTTAAACAATGTGTTAAAGCATTAGCTTGAGTAACCGACTGAGTTACAGTGAACCAGGCAAGTCCCCGCCAGGGGCCCATAGATCCTGAGTTACTGAAATGAGAATTCTGAGCTCTGAGCTCTGCAGCTACAGCTGCCCCTGGACACAGGGCCTTTCGCTAAGGACAAGAACATGACGCTGAGTTAGCGGTTCTAGTATGGGAAGCGGTGCATGTGGGGAGAGGTACAGATTCTACTGCCAGACCTTTGAGACTAGAAACTGAGTATGATTTCTATGTTTTTCATGTTACAATAAACTTCCCCAGCCTGCTTTCTGGCCCAGTCTTCACTCTCAGCTGGAATCGCCACCTCTGTGCTGTTTAGACATGAGTGAACAACACTCAGTTCTAGCAATGACCTCTGCTTCCTTTGAAGCTACAGGCTTCAGAGCCATGTCTCCAATTCATAACAAGCAGGTCTGGGTTTCTGTGTGTATCTGTGGTGATTACATTACTGGGGTCAACCTTAATTGATCCTCAGGCTGTTAAGCAACTGATACCCAAGAGGGCCTCGGAGAGTGCCCGGCAGCTATGCCGACACTCAGCAGCTCACACATTTGCAGTAAATGCTGAAATCACCCAGCACTGAACTGCTTACTCTCTGACCTCTACCAAATTCAACCTTTTAAAAAATGTGACCAGCAAAAGAAGCAGGTACTTCTCTTGTCTGAGCTTCCAGAATGTATTTGTCGTTTCTCGTTTTCTCGGACTGCTGTAGTCCGTCACCCAGCCGTGTGCTACCTGCTGGATACCACATCTGCGTACCAAACCCTGGGGAGCTGCAGGATGTGAGAGTGGGCCACCTGGTCCTTTGGGCGGCGTGCTGCTAAAACTGAAGCTGTCCACAGAGGTTGCCCCTTGGGTCTTGTAAACAGGAGGGCTCAGTCCAAGAGCAACAAAATCAATCCATTTGCCTCTTACAAAAGGGTCTTTCCTATGTAGATGAACAGACACACACGCACAGAGCAGCTCTGGAGGACACGCAGATACTCGTCAGTTATCTGAGAGAACTGGGCCAGGCAGGCGTGGGAGGGTGACTGACTTTCCCCAGTACATTCTTTACAACCTTCTGATTTTTGTGCCTCCTACATGGCCTCCCACACCAAACCCTGTTTTCTTCCTCAACTCTGCACTTTCTTCTTGACTCGCTCAGGGGTGCTCCTTTCCTACACAAACAACACTAGTCACGGATTATGGAGTCGGGGGCTGGACTGGACATCCCATGCTTTACCACATTCATAATCCCACCCAGCAAAGCTCTGTGGGAGGTGTTCAGTATCCCCATTCACAACAAGAGAAACTGAGGCTTAGTGAGGTCAAGACCTTCGTCCAAAGGCACATGGCTAGGAAGTGTAAGAACCAGGACGAGCCCAGGAGTGTCTTCACTTAGAAGTTCATGCTTCTAACCCGTCCCCTAAACTGCAGGGGTTCTTAACTAGTAGCCCCAGGAGACATTTGGCATCGCCTGGAGATAGTTTTGGTTATAAAAGTTGGAGTTAGGCGAGTACTCCTGGCATCTATGGGTAGAGGCCAGGGATGCTACTAAAAATCCTACAGTGCCCAGAACAGCCCTGATCTGTCTCTGGAGGATCCTCTCACCACCACCCCCCGACACCTCTGGCGTACACTCCAGTTCTTGTGTGCATAAATAAATAAAAAAAGAAAAGAAACCCAGCACTACTGGAAAAATACAGAAAGAGAAACTATATTCTGACCTAAACTCTCATTTAGGCCACTGTTCAGCATATCTATGTGCCATACGACAGCCAGATACGAAATCAGACGGCAGGTTCTCTCTCTAATCAAGAGCATGCCAACCCCTGGAGCTCTCTCCAGCCCCACTGCCAGTTCCTCCTCAGCCAATCAAGACTGATCATCCACCTACCCAATGTTTACTGGGCACCAGCTGGTGCCAGGAAACCAGCCCCCCGGTGGGAATACCCGGAGAAACAAGAGCCTGTCCCTGCACGTGAGGCGCTGATGTCCTGACAGGAAGACAGACACTGAAACCCATGATGAGGATGCACCGAGACAGCAGCGCAGGATTCAAAGAAGTCACAGCGCAGGGGCTCCAGCTTCAGCTGGATACGGGCTGGGGAGGCTTGGAGAAGACTTCCCAGAAGTATTTGAGTTAGAAGAAATTGAACAAACAGAAGGAAACTACATGGTCCTTGCCAGGCCCTTCAGGGTTGCATCTCTGAGAATCTAGAGGGGCAACTTTTATTCAAAAGTTTGGTGGAGGGGCCTCCCTGGTGGCGCAAGGGGTTAAGCGTCAGCACTAAAAAGCTATCTGCATCTACTGCAGCACGAGTTCGATCCCCGGCCTGGGACCCACATGGCGCAGCAGACCTCTCCTGTCTCACCCACTGCTCCCCCCAGCACTGTATTTCAGTCTGTCTACCTGTTCTGCTCCCCGCTCTGTCTCTGGTGAATCCTCTCACCTCCCCGTACCTCTGGCCTATACCCCAGTTTTTGTATGCATAAATAAATAAATCTTTTAAACAACAACATCAACAACAACAAAAGTTTGGTGGAACTCCTGAGAAAAAATACTCGGAGGGCAGACCTTGATCTGCACACAAGTTGGATGATTCCTGCCTCGAAGAAGGAACTGGCACCCGGACCAGCCTTGCACATTCACACTGCAAATCCTGTGAATTCTACGCACACAATTCTCAAAACAATTCTGTGAGATAGATATTCCCACCCCTGTTTTACAGATGAGGAAACTGAGGCACAGTAATGAAGTAACTGGCCCTCAGGACACAGAGTCACTAAACCGGGAAGCAGAGATTCATGCCCGACTCAGAGTCCTCGCTGCCTCCATCAGAGGGACCCTTCTCAGTTACCAAACCCAAACAATGTTCCTGTCACCCTGCTCCCGTGTGCCACACACTCTGGAACAGACGCCCATGGTTCTAGCAGTATACTATTATGCACACGGCCACGAGCCAGGGCTTGCCGTGCTCCCAAGACCAGTCTTACTCATCTCCAAATCCCTAGCACCTAGCGCAGCATCTGACACAGGCTGAGCCCAGAAAATGCTGAATGCACAAACAGGTCTGGCCTCCTTGGGTTCAATCCGCACAAAACCTCCCCAAAGCCAGAGCAGCCTGCCTTGGGGAGCACACCCAGCCCTCTTTCACCACTGCAGTGCATTTCCCCTCAGCCGGGCCCAAGTCCCAAAGTCAGCAATCAGGTCACGTGAAGACAGAGCAGGTTCTCCCAGCCAGCTTTCCCTCTACCACTGGAACAATCATGATTCATTCTTTGGTTGTACACCAGATGCTTATGTTTGGGGACCATGCTACACTAAAATATGTATCTTTAAATATTAAAAACTTAAAAGGAATGAGCATGTGCACCCCAGTCTATCCTTCTCTGTCTGGCAAATGGAATGTACACATGATGGCAGGAGCTACAGCAGCTCGGATGGACCATGAGGTGGAGGTTTGTGTCTGTGCAGGGCCGCAAGACCTGTGGAACTCCGTTCTTGGATGATGCCATGGAACACAGCATGCTGCCCCACCTGCTCAGGACTGCCTATTTCCAGACTATTAAGAGGTGAAAAAATAAACTTCTATTGGATTCAGCTGCTGTATTTTGTGGCAGTGTTTTACATGACAATTAAAACAAGTGATGAGCATTGTCCAGTGGTTAATCTACTTTCGTCTATGTTGCTAAAATAATAATATCAACAATTTCTCAACCAAACTAACAAGGATTTTGTCATAACTATACAACTTTAAAGAAAAAGCCATCTTGAAAGAGCGATTTGACTCACATTGAACCTAGACAAAATAGGACAAACAAATCAACCTCTGGGTTAGTTTCATCCTGGAGTGTTAACAGACATACCTCAGATTTCCAAGCAGCCCAGGCTACTCTTTTCTGACAGTTTGTCTGCGTAAACTCCAGCTTGGTTCTCCTCCTCCAGCTCATTACCTGAATCAAGGACAAGCAGAAAATCTGATAAGCACCTGAAGGACACCTGCCCCCTCAGAATTGTCCTTCACATGCCCATTAAACAGACAAATGCAGAGCACTGTGCAGAGTCTGGCATAAGAAGGTGCTCAAGCAATGTTGGGTCATTACTGACCCGCTGCATGCCAGACACTGTATTGGACCCCAGGGACACAAAGAGAAATGAACCCAGGCCTCTACTCAGGAACTGCCATTTATGAAAAGATGTAACGCTGTTGAAAAGCAAACGCCATGAGCAGCATTAGCACTCCTTTGGCATGTCCTGGATACTCTGTGTCTCATTCATACTCTGACCCTAAGTGAGCACATCCCTCCCCCAACTTCAGTGACCTTTGAGGGATGCTAGATCACCACAGAACAGCTCCACTACAAAGTTTTACAGGTACCTCCTTTCAACATGTCCAAAAGTAAATTTAGGTTCCCTCCTGTTACCTCCCAGTCAAAAAGGCTTCGGGTGCCCCTAACTCTCACAGCTAAGTAATTACCAAGTTTTGCCAATTCTACCTCCAAAACATCTCTCCCCACCCCTCTACCTCTAACCTAACTCCAGGCCACCTTCACTTCTCACCTGGATTACTCTAGCAGCCTCCTAAGTGCTCTCCAGGCCCAGTCCCTGTAATACGTTCCTCACATGGCCAGAGTGATCTTTCTAATCCACCAGTCTGATTCTTAAATCGCTTCTTGTTAACCTAAAATGTAAAGTGCTTAACTAGGTCTACAAGTCCCCCAAGGACTAGACTACAGCTTGTTTTAGCCTTCTCTCTTACCTCTCTGTAGGCAGATAACTTAATTCATTATTACACAGGCCCCTGAAATTTCTCATAAACTCCATCTTCAATTGAGAACATTCTCCCTTTCTCCTGGCCCTACTCTCCCAAGTATCCTTTAGCTCTCACTTTCCTCAGCTTCCTGGGGTGCAAGGGTGTCGGTGAATTTACCCGGAGGAGTGAGATGCCTCTATTCTGGGCTCCCAAAGAAAGAAGGCCCTTTCCTCCAGCCTAGGGGTGTCAGAATTCCCTATTTATCTGCAAGTCCCCCTCAAGCATCTCTGAGAGCTGGGTGGTGATGATGCAGATGCCAATTCACAGCAGGGAGCACACACTTTTACTTTGCTCCAGAGAGAGCCTTCTCAGCACTTTACACTATTACCTCATTTAATCTTTATCACACTTTTAGGAGACTGATTTTATCATTTCTGCTTTAAGGATGAGGGCATAGAGGTAGAGTGAGAAAACCGAACGTGTCTAAGGAAACAGTTGGCAAGCACAGAGTGATACAAACCCCGGCTGCCTGGGTCCACAGCTCACATTTTAACCGCTGTGCCAGCAGCATGGAGCCTGACTGGCTCGCTTGCTCGATCCTCAGAACCTGTCAGGTGCTGACCCACCGTCAGTGACCCGAACGAACGAATGAATGAATGAAATAATCTTATACACGGAGGCTGGCGGGCTCCGACTCTGCCAGCACTTGGCAGGCCCTGACAGGACTGCGTCCTCCTGCTCCGGCCGGCCAGCGGACAGGAGCTGCCCGGCACCCCGCCACCTCGCGGCCGCAGAACGCCCACCCGCCGCGGCGCGCGGGGTCAAGGGGCGGTGACAGCCGGGCGGCGGGGGCGGAGATGCCACCAGCTGGGGTGTCACCAGCCCGGGAGGTGACTCGCGCTCCCTCGCCGGGACGCCCAGTTCGCCCGCCCACTCCCCGCCCGCTCGTGCGGCGGCGCCCCCCGCCCAGCTGCCCAGCGCCCTCCTGCCCCGCGGGGTCCCCTCCGTCCGGGTTTCCTTCCCATTCCACTTCCTTCCCCTCCCCCACACAACCGTCCCCGGCGTGCCGCCTCGCCCCATCCTCCGCCGCCTCCGCCCAGCTCCCGGGGCTTCCCCAGCGCCGGGTGCTCGCTGACCCTCACCTGCCATGTCCTGGGCCCCACCGCCGAGGGAGGTGCATCACGGCCGCGAGGAGGCCGGGGACGGCACTTCAGAGCAGACAAAGGGCGCCGCCATGTTAGAGTCGGGCGGAACCGACCTCGCCGGCTTCCCGGCTGCAACTTCCGGCGCATGCGCGGCGCTTGCGCTCCTGCGCGACCGTGGACACACGCATGCGCCTAGCTGTCCAGGCGGTCCACATTACAGTACTTCTGCAACTAGGATTGCCCTCATTGTAACTCTTGCTAGGTTCTTCAATTCCAAATATAACAGTAGCAGCTTCCACTTGTTCAGCGTTTACTGTGTACCAGGAACTGCGTTAGGCGCTTTACGAGCATTATCTCAAATCCTCTCATTAATAATAGAGAATTATTCTCCCCCCTTTTTCTTTTCCTATAACTGGTAAAAGGACAGTGCGACCCTGTACAAAGCCCTCCAGGCCACAAAGAGGGAGGGGCCATTTCTGTCCTGCTTGCACACTATTCTCCTTTTGAAGAAGGGAAAAGGGAGTTTCAGAAAATGTAAACTAGTCGTACACATAGTGGAGAAGTCTCAACTGCAGGGCCCGACTCTATTTTTCTACCTTATGAATCAATCGTAACCCTCTTCCCTACTTAGGGCAGATCCAGGATTTGTCTGGAGTGAATGAGGGTTCCTGAAAACCAACGTGTGCCGGCTTGGACTGTTCCTTTGTGGCCATTTGGGACTTTTCAGCACTTCCAGGCCTTTGACTTCTGTCCACTTCCTCGCAGTTCCTGGGCTTCCTCCTTTAGTTATAATCTTGTTTTCTTTTCTTTTTTTTTAAGATTTATTTATTTATGCATACAAGAGCTGGTGTACGGGCCAGCGATGTGGGGCGCAGGGAGGAGGGGAGAGAGGATCCACCAGAGACAGAATGGGGAACAAAACAGGCAGACTGATGAAATACACTGCTGAGGGGAGCAGCGGGCCAGACAGGAGAGGTCTGCTGCGCCATGTGGGTTGCTCTCTGGCCTGCTGGGGATTGAACTCTGTGCTGGCAGAGGCTGCGGATTGCTTCACACTGTCATGCTTAACCCCTTGCACCACCAGGGAGGCCCTATAATCTTGTTTTCTAAGAGTCGTAATTTTAGTAACAGACTTGCCATTATCTTAACTTCTTTTGCTCTTATGTAATTTTTTTTTAGATTTAAAAAAATTTTTTTGAGATTTATTTGTTTATGCATACAAGAACTGGAGTTCAGGCCAGAGGTGTGGGGGGTGAGAGGATTCACCAGAGCAGAGTAGGGAGCAGAACAGGCAGATCTACTGAAATACACTGCTGAGGGGAGCAACAGGTGAGAGGAGAGGTGTGCTGGGCCATGTGGCCATGTGCTGATTTTCCATCAGCTCCCTGGCGGGAGATAAAACTCGGATAGCTTCATAGTGCTGATGCTTAACCCTCTGCACCACCAGCAAGACCTCCATAATCACCTGTTTCTCTTAAAATAAATCTGCTTAAAATAAATCTAGAAAGAACAGGAGGGATCCTTGTGATGGAAATGTTCTGTGCCTTGACAGTACACTGGTTGTGTATTATAGTTTTGCAAGTGATGGGGTTTAGTGTGTGGGGTTCTTGGGTCCCTCTGAGAAAGATTTTAGCAGATATCCCCATTCATCAGCACACGGCAAGTTTACTGAGGAGAGGAAAGAAAAGAAAAACAAAAGGGGCCTGCATAGACACAGATGGGCAGTCTTTTTCTTTTTCTTTTTTTTTTTAAAGAGGCATGTATTTTTATTTATTCATTTGTTTGTTTGTTTATACAAGCACTGGGTACAGTCAGAAGCGCGGGAGGGTGAGAGAATTCACCAGAGCCAGAGCGGGGAGCAGAGCAGGCAGAAGGCCCGAAATACACTGCTGAGGGGAGCAGTGGGCGGCAGGAGAGGTCTGCGCGCCATGTGGGACCCTCCTCAGGTGCTGGGGAGCAGCCGGGGATTGAACGGGTGCCGCAGAGGCCACGGGCAGCTTCACAACCCAGCGTTCAACCGCTGCGCCACCGGGGAGGCCCACATATGGGCAGTCTTAAAGAACAAAAACTGCATTTTGCCAGGGCAAGAAGTGGTCTTTTATAATGTTCTTCGATGGAATTATTATGGAAAGTACCCCTTTGGGGTCAGATTGGGTTGGTCTTCTAAGACTGGTAATCCTCTCTGGCCCCGCCTCTGGCTGATGATCTTTTCTGACCCCACCTTAGATTCCTGGAAACTTCCATAGTCAGGTTTAGCCCAAGATTCATTAATCACTCTGCCCCCATCTCTGGTGTCTGTCCTTGTGAGACCTTCCATCCTAAACTTTTCTACTCTAAGATTCCATCAGATATATCTCATGATTTTCCATTCATCAGTTGAGAGACATTTGAGTTGGTGGGGACGAGTCATCCTGATTCTGGACACCTGAAGTGACTGCCTCTGCTGTTTGCTTTCCAGATTCCTGAAACTGTTACAGGGCAACCCCAGTGTGGTTGGCCTGACTGTGGATTCTCACCCGCATGCTTAAAAGGGACTTATAATGAGACTCAACTGCAGGTACACACAAAAAGGGTAATAAAGGTTTTATTTACAAAAAGGGGAAATGAAAAAATGAGTAACTCAGGAAGAAAGCGAGAGATAAATTAATGAAAGCGTCCTACCAATTTTGCTGAGCTGGAACCCCAGTAGCATGCTGAAAGCCAGTGAAAAAACAACAGTGAAAATAAACCAAGCCTGGCTGCTTACCTCCACCCTCAGTTCCCTGCAATCCTCTCTTTGGTGGTGATGACATTATGGGATTTGTAGTCCTTGGTGTCTTGGATCTTGCTGTCCTTAACAATTATCCCACCAGGGAGGCCCCCTGTACTAAGTTTTAAGTTAACATAGTCGCTGATTCTGGGGATCAGGGCCTGGAATCATTGGGGGACCATTATTCTGCTATGTCAAATATCTGACCCCTCCAAGGGCTTGGATAGACATTTTTCAATAGGCCCCCCTCAGGCCTCTCTTCAGGCAGGTATGGGAGCCAGAGGCCAATCAAGGTCTGTGAGCTGGGGAGGTCTATTATCATTACTTAAGGAATGCAGATAGCTTTTCTGGAGAGTTGTGAAGGCCCAGAAGGCCAGAAGAAGCTGCAGTTCTTGCCCAAATTGCCTGCCCCTCCTCCCCTAATCAAAGAAGAGATTGTTTTATCCTAAGTTTCAGTCCTTTTCCTAACTGAGTAGCACTCATTGCTTGCTCTTCAGTTTATGATCTAGAAGAATAGAATTTGAGGGGATCTCACCCAGTTCCAGGTTTATCAGTAAACATGTTATCTTTATCAGAAAATCTCATCTTTCCTTTGAAAATAAGAATGAAGCCACCCTTCCTTTTTTTGGCCACCCCCCTTTTTGTCTGCTAGTCTCCCCCTCTTCGTTCTTGATACCTCAGTTTCCAAAATGCAGGATAAATAATCCTGGATAAATAATCCTAACCCACTCCATTCTTTAGAATTTGCAATCTTGTAAATTCTCTATATATGTTATTAAATTTATTGCTTTTCCTTTGCTAACCTGTCTGATGCTGTTTTTTTTTTTTTAAATTTTTTTTATAGAGGCATGTTTTATTTATTTATTTGTTTGTTTGTTTTGTTTATACATGCACTGGTACAGTCAGAAGCGTCGGAGGGTGAGAGAATTCTGCAGAGCGGGCAGAAGGACCGAAGTACACTGCTGAGGGGAGCAGCGGGCGGCAGGAGAGGTCTGCGCGCCATGTGGGACCCTCCTCCGGTGGCCGGGGAGCAGCCGGGATTGAACCGGCCCCGCAGAGGCCGCGGCAGCTTCGCAACCCAGCGTTCAACCGCTGCGCCACCGGGAGGCCCTGATGCTGTTTTTTGATTACTCATGGAGAAGGATGAAGAGCTTTCAGCCTTTCTTACTTATTTATAGAGGTAATATTGTTTCCATTTAATGTATCAATACCAATTTTCCTTTTAATGCATAGTTCTTAATCAGTTCAAACCTGTTGGCTGACTTAAAGGATGCTGTGGATTAAATGTATCCTCCCAAAACAATATTCTGAAACCTAATCCCCAGTGTGATGGTATTAGTAGTAGGGTGTTTGGGAGGTACTTAGCGCTGAGTGGGGAGCCTCAGCTGGGATGAGCGAGTACCCTGGCCCTTCAGGCCACATGAGGATCCAGCAAAAGTGTAACAGGGTGGTCCCCAGGAAAGGGGGAGGTTCCCTGCCCCACCCAAGGGAGGGTGGAGCTGAGCAGGGAGAGGAGAAGCTGCAGAAGAGACTGAGGAAGGAAGGAAGCAGGATGGAGCCTGGAGACCTAGAGGAGGCGCATGGAGCCTAGAGACACGTGAAGAAACTGCACTTGTCTTTTGGTCATGGACTGGGTGACACAGATGTGGGTGAGACCCACGGGGAGGTGACAATGGCAGCTTTTATTTTGATGTCGATTTTGCTCTTTTCCTTTTGGGCTTGTCTGGTTGTTTTTGACCCTTTTTTGTGGGTCTCCACTGGAAGATGTTTTAGACTTGTGGCAGGCTTTGGGGCCTTGTTCTGCGCCATTCCCAGATGGATGGACTTTTACCCACGAGGGGATGGGTAATTTTGGGTGCTTCATTTAGAAACTAGACTTTTTGCCTTACCTGTATTGTTTTCTTATTAAAGTTTTTTTCCATTAAAGTCTCATATGTTTTGTGTTAATGCGGCGGATGGCAAAACCCATTTAGAATAGGCAGGTTTGCGGGGTTTGGGTTGCCCCTCTTCCTGTCCTATAACAGATTTGGCGCCTTGCCCCTCTCCCTGTCCTATAACAAAAGCACAACCTTTTATGAACAGTAAGCACGTCCTCACCAAACACCAAAGTCAGGATATCTTTTAATAAGATTACAATCTAAACCCCCACCCTTTGCCCAGCAGGAAGGTGGGAGGCTTGAATAGACAAGGGAAATTAATAAGGTTGCTATGGGAACCAGGCCAAAAGGCTGATCATTTTGACCATGAATTCGGAAGCAGGGTCAGGACACATTCTGTGTCAAAGGTCAACGCCCAAGACCAGACATCCCAGTACGAACTGGCCCAAACTGACTCCCAACTCATGAAAAGCTCCCTGAAATCAGAATATAAAAAGGAACCTCAACCCCTTCTTCATGCCCAGACCTCTCCTGTCTCACCCACCTTTTCTCTTAGCAAAGTATATTTCAGTAAATCCGCCTTTTCTGTTCTCCACTCTGTCTCTGGTGAATTCTTTCACCCCTGTGCCTCTGGCCTACACCCCGATTTCTCCCACAACAACCAACATCTGCTGGTACCAGAATCCAGAACCAGGAGAAATAAATTTTGGTTAAGGCCCCCAGTCTCTGGCAGCCTGGACAGACTAAGAGTGTGCTGGGTAAGTAGTGATCCATGAATGCTCACGTAGGAATAAAAAGCAAATAGTGATGTAGGCAGGCAATGACTACCTACGGTTTGGGAGACTGAGATCTGGCTGGAAGGTTCCAAGGCCTATCCCAAGTCAGGAAGCAGCTGGAGATGGAAGAAATAGCTTGCCTGGTAGATCTGCCTTCCAGCATTTACTTCACAACAATCCTGTTGACATAACCCGATTGCTTGATCAAAGAATCCCCTAACTGCCCCAGGCCAGTTCCTGTGGCTGCCTTGGAATTCGCTCAGCAGGTCCGGATCCGGTAAAGAGAGAAGACCTGGTGCTTGGGTGGGGAGCAGATCCTGGAGGGGGTGGCTGAGGACCACACTCCCTGCCGGAGTGAGGCCAGGTACTGAGGCTGCAGCAGGTCCCCTCTGAAGACCCCAGGGACGGGAGAGCCAGCCCCAAAGTCATGGACCTTGAGACAGATCTGGGGACCAGCTCAGGTAAGAGGCGGTGGAGGGTCTCAGCCCTGCAGAAAGACTGGCTGAGGGGAGCTGGGGGGATGGGTCAGAGGGCAGAGACCCTCCCCCAGAACTACCTCAAGCGAGGGGTGGGCTTCATTCATTTCCTGTTTTAACCAAGGACCAGAACATAGCTTCCTTATAAACCTGTGTCTGGCTAGGAGCACGTAATGAGGACAAGGGACTGGTTCATTATCTGGGGAACCCAATAAATTCCTTTAGTAAGAGCACAGACTTTGGATTCAGACAGACCCACTGTGGCCCTTGCTTTATTGATAAACCTATTGGCTGGTCCCAGGCTTCTCCCTGTGCTGCATCCTGAACTGGGTAGGGAGGGTTACAGGAGTGAGATGGAGCAGGATCCCCAGGGTGGATGGGAACCGGGTGATGAGGATGCCTTCTAAGGCTGTGCACAACATTCCAAGAGGGTGGGGAGAGTACAGGGCTCCCTAAGGATCACCAACACTTGCACTAGCTGAGCCTCACTTTCCTCACCTGTTAAGGCGGCCGGGGCTTTCCTCTTGGAGGACCTCACTGCTCACAGAAGCCAGTACCCCACAAGCCTGTTGGAAATGCAGTCTCAGCCTCCCACCCCAGACCCAGAATTTGCACGTTAACTCGATGCCCAGATAATGACATGTGCAGTAGAGAAGCTCGGAGACCTGGGCTCGGTTCCCCTAGAGGGCTGGCAGCTGGTCCTGAGGGAAGCCCACCTTCTGGGCCTCCTTGGTGGCCTAGGGGTTAAGTTTCAGCACTGTCACCACTGTGGCCTGAGTTCATGCCAGGCCAAGGAGCTGACCCACATGTTGCAGCAGACCTCTCCTGGGTCTCCTTTCTGTAGTGGTGATGAAGAGCTGGACACAGTCAAATTGGGGGTACTGGCAAAGTAGCCTCACATAGAAGAACTGGGGTGTAGGCCAGAGATGCATGCAGTGAGAAGATTTACCAGAGACAGAGAGGGGAGCAGCGGAAGAGACAAAAAAGGTCTGCTGTGCCCTGTGGGTCAGCTCCCTGGCCAGGGATCAAACTTAGGCCGTAGTGGTGATAGTCCTGAGACTAATCCCTAGACCACCAGGGACGCCCTCTTCAATTTAAATGTAATATACTATCCAGTCTTCATCTTTGTATTTGCACAGCCAAGCACAATGGTTGACACAGAACTAACCCTATGTCTGCTATTTGGTGAAAATTAAATGAGGATTTTATGAAGTCCACACACTAAAACATAAACTTTTGACTTCCCAGTAAACTCTGACATAATTTCCTTCCTTGCCTTTTGTGACACTATTTTTTCCTTACTTTTCTAGCACCTACACCTCCATCACAATCTTTTCCTAGTTGACTTCTCCTGCTAGCTCTGTCCTCAACCTTCTTATCTGCTCATGATACAAGTTCTCTTTGGGTGTTATCCAATTTTCCCATTTATCCGAATAAACAAAGACCCCCGGATTTGCTCATTGGCCTTCAAACACAACATATATTTTAGCTTACCTTTTAGTCTAAAATCCCTTCTCTCTCTCTCTTTTTTTTTAAAGATTTATTTAAAAGAACCGGGGTACAGGCCAGATGCGCGGGAGGGTGAGAGGATTCGCCAGAGAGAGAGGGGGGAACAGAACAGGCAGACTGACGAAATACACTGCTGAGGGGAGCAGCGGGCAAGACAGGAGAGGTCTGCTTCACCATGTGGGATTCTCGCCAGCCCGCCAGGCCCACCAGGATCTAACCCGTGCTGCAGAGGCTGTGGACTGCTTCACAGCATGATGCTCAACCGCCTGCTGCCACCAGGGGAGGCCCTCTTCTTTTTTTGTGTTGACAAATCCCTTCCTACTCTTGACTCCAGCTCCTTTGCAGAGCTCTCCCACAGCCACAGACTCCAAGACATTATCAGCCTTTGGTTGGTTCCTCTTAGATCTCTTACTATTGCAGCACCAACCAGGCAGAGGCCTGGGGCCTTTTCACTACACTTCTTCTCTTGGTGATGTGATGACTTCAAATCTCTCCTCCACGCCATAGCCAGCTCCAACACCTGTGACCTTTTCCTTCCTTCCAGGTGGGAGGCTGGCCCGCCATCCGAAGGCCATCCCCAGGGCTCACCTGACTTTTATGATTGACTGTTCTCGTGGGAAACAGCTCTCCCTGCTAGCACCCCCAGTGCCGCCCCCAGCCCTGAGCCCCTGTCTAGGACCTGCCCACCCTCCAATGAAGACATACATCTTGTTCTGTGGGGAAAGCCAGCCCCATCGGGCCCACGAGGCCCCCCTGCATGGAGGACACTGTGCCCAGGCCCCGGGCACCCTGCCAGCCTTCCAGGGGACTGTGGCTCCGGCTTCGACTCCCGTCAGCCCCCTCTGCCCCCAGGAGGCTCCGGGAGCCAAGGGGAGTCCCTTGAAGACTGTGAGATATTCTGCTTGGGGGACAGTCAAGGGCTCCCTCAAAGGACTCCTCTCTTCCTGTGTCTGTGGGCAGGCGGATTAACTGGGAAGGGCCTGACCTTGGTGGAGGTGTCGGGGGCCAGTCAGTCTGCCCAGGCTGCCGCTCCCAGAGCCCACTCCCTCGTCACAGGCACAAAGCATCCTTTCTGCCAGAGCCCAGCAAAGCTCATTAGATCCACAGACACGCACCTGAAGCAAACACGGTCTCCACGCCCACAGCGCCCTGCTTCCTTCTTCCTCCTCACCACGCTCAGCGGCAGGCTCCCCCACATGGAGAGTAATCCTCCCCTCGGCACATTCCAGCGGCGCATCTTCCACATCCCAGGCCCTGCAGCTGCAGGAGAGACACCACAGCTTCTTGGAACTCACGTTCTTGGGGAGGGGGAAGGTCAGACGGGTACCCGGATAAATAAAGATGGTTCGGGAAACCACGAAATGATGGCTGTGTGGGAACACGGGTGTGCATGTGTGATACAGACACCAGGAACCACATCATACCAACTTCACAGGCTGTGCCGAGGCCTTTAAAGTTTATTCTGAGATGGGGACTGGTGGAAATTGCGAGGAGAGAGTGAATGACTTTAACTTTGGAAAGAATTCCTCTCGCTCTGAGAGACCACAGAAGGCAGGGGAGGAACTTACGAGGCTGAGGCTTAGTCCAGGCAAAGGGCAGTGATGATTTGGACTCGGGGTGGTGACAGTGTCACCGGGATGACCTATACCCACCCACCCCCAGGAAAGCTGGCGTAGCCTCCCGGCTCCAGCGGGAATTTGAGACCCTCCAGGGAAGGGCGAAGTCTGGCTGCACACCTAGGTTTTCACCAGCAGGTGTCGCCCTATCACCAGCCCGAGAGCCTGGGCTCTGGCAAAGGATGGGGAGCAGGGGGCGGGGCGGGGAGGGGAGGGGAGGGAGGGCAGGTTGTCTGCTCACCTGTTGAGCACAGGGCCAGAACCAGGGGATTGGCCACCTAGTGGGGCCCATGTTTTCAGAAATCCAACTTTCATTCTAACTCACACCACTTTCATCTGAATAACGAGCGTTTATGGCAGGCACCGATCAAAAGGACACCAGGATTAAATCAGTGGCACAGGCGTCTGTCACGTCCTCAGTAACAGGAGTGAGATTATGACGACTGACCAGGTATTTCGTGGCACCACACGCCATCTCAATTCATCTCACACCAGGCCCCAGAGGTGGGTATAGGTTTTCCTGTCATTTTAAAGATGAGGAAACCAAGGCACAGAGGGATGCAGGACACCAGCAAGCAAGAGGCAAAGTCCAAACCCAAGCAGCAGCCTGAGGGCAAAGCTGGCTCACTGGGCCCAGCCCAGGGCCTGGCAGTGTGAATGGCAGAGAGCAGCCCTCACCAGAGCGGGCACATAGGCGGAGGACTGAGAGAAAGTTCCAGAAACCAAATGCTCTGTGAAATGGGATAATGATGTGGCAAACATTTGGTATGATGCCCTCTGGGCCAGGCACTGAGCTAAGCTCTCAAGAGAACAGCTCATGTGTGGAGATTTCTGGACCTACTAAACATAGAACTTCCATATGATCCAGCAATTCCACTCCTAAGTATTTACCCAAAGGACACAGAAACATCCATTCCAAAGAACACCTGCACCCCTATGTTTATAGCAGCACTATTTACAATAGCTAAGCTTTGGAAACAGCCCAAATGCCCAAAAATAGATGACTGGAGCAAGAAGATGTGGTACATATACACCATGGAATATTACTCAGCATTCAAAAAGATAAACACGTGCAATTTGCAGCCACATGGATGGCGCTGGAAGGGATCATGCTCAGCGAAATAAGCCAGAAAGAAAAAGAAAAATACCGGATGGTCTCCCTCATAGCAGGAATCTAGAAAACCTAAATAAGGGACCAGGAAAAAGAATAACTATAAGAAAGTGAAAATCAAAATCAACAAACAACTATGAACCAGAGACACTTTTTTGGGGGTGGGAGGGGAGGGATTGGGGTCAGAATGGGGGGGTTGCAATTGTATGGGGAATATAAAAATAAAATTTATTATTTAAAAAAAAAAAAGAGAACAGCTCAGTTTGTCTCTTCCCAACCCTGGGAGGTGCTACCCCGATTTACAGATGGGGAAACCAAAGCTCGGGTTAGTTAAGCAACGGACCAAGGTCACACAGCCAACTTGTGACCGAGCCAGGGCTGAAGGCTTGGACTTCAGATGTTATCTACAAGCCACACTGGAGAAATCGCAGAAACCTGTGGAAAGATTGAACAAGTAAAGACGCCCTTGAACCAGTGAGTGAAAGTGAACAAGTGAGGGTAGTTCTTGTGCGGGCACTTGCCCCGGAGCCTCCGGCCTCACCCTCATCTTCTCCCCACGACAGCTCTAGTCTGCCAGCCGTGCTTCATTCAGGACAGTGTCCAGGGGCCTCACAGCGCCTGGACAGAGGGGTGGTCACGACCTGCGTGGGAGAGAGGGGAGGGAGGGGGATAGAGGGGCAGATTTGGGTCCCGCCTGTTCGGTGCTCTCTGTGCTCAGCAGCCTGTTCTGTGCCCCTCTGGGAGCACCCTAAGGGGCCCCCACCCAAATTCCTGGGGAAGGCTATCACGGGTCCACCCTCTGTAGGGCCTCGGGGGGCAGCAGCTGACCACGCACAGGGAACGAGGCCAGCTGTGCAGTGGCCCAGCTGTGCTGACTGTAAACAGCACCCGGCAGCTCCAGAGGGCTTCCTGGAAGAAGAGGGTCTTGGCCTGGGCCGAGGAACCTCCCAGGTCCTCCTTGCCAAGGGCTCTGCCAAGGCCTGACCTGGGATTCTCCCAGGTCTCCAGCCCTGAAGGGCTGCACCTTTTCAGCTTCCCCAGCCTCTTGCCCAGGCTTAGTCCAAAAGTTGTAAGATAGGCGGACCCCTTCTGGGTTCCCAAGTCGGCGTGGGTGCAAGGGGGCTGCCTCAGCCCCTGGTGGTGAGGGGACTGATCGGGGCTGACCCAGCAGAGTGGCTTTCTGGGACCACCGACTGGAATTCAAATCCCAGCCACTCCAAGCTGGGTGACCTTGGGCCGGCGGCCTGACCTCTCTGAGCCTCCCGTGGGCCTGGGCACACACCTTGCAGGACTGTTGTGGGGCCGAGCAGGGCTGGGGTTTGGCGTCCGCTCAGCCCTCGATGAATGGGCTGCTATAATTACTCCTCGCGCGGGGCCCGCAGCCAGGCCTATATTTAGCCTGGAAAGGGTGGGGGGCGCTGGGGAACAAAGCGCCGCAGTCAGCCCCGGCGCCGGGGGGCGGAGCCGATGAGAGACCGGCCTGCGGGCTCCCCCCGCCCCCCGCCCTCCTCTGCCGCAGGTCACCTTGGCCTTGGGCTCCCTCGCTCGCCCACGCGCCCGGGTCCCCCGCAGGCGCGCTCAGCCCCCGACCCGCAGCCTGGGAAGGCGCGGCTGGAGCCTGGGGAGTATTCAGCGCCTCTGTCGTCTCGGGGAGCACCCCTTTCCCAGTGCGGGCTGCGGGGGGCGGAGGGAGGGGCTTCGCTGAGGTCGGGGTGCCAAGGGGAGCCCGAGCCGGGGGTGGGGGGGAGCGGGGAGCCGGCCCGCCCCTCCCCCGGGCCGCGCGCGCGCCTGAGTGTCGGGCTGCAAATAGCCCAGCGGAATCTGTGAGTCACGGAGGCTGGAAATACCGCGTCTCCTCCGCCCCCCACCTCCCGCCAGCAGCCCGGCAGCCACTTGGGGGAGCCCTGGCACTCCGATTTCAGCAGCATTCGGATGTGTGGGTGCGGCCCCCCTCCAGAGTGCGCCCAGGTGTCCTGAGCCAGCCAGCCAGCCCCCCAGCCAGGTTCCAGCCTGATTCTGCCCCCAGGACTGCCTGGCCCGGGATCAGTCACTCAGCCTCCCTGGGCCTCGGAACTCATCTGGTAGTTGGGTTTCAAGAGAGCGGGTGACTCGGTGCCCGCAGCCCTTGGTGTCCCCACGCCTGGGACAGTGCCAGGCCCCAGCTGGCAGGGGCTGCAATAGGAAGAGACAGTGCAAGGCTTTTTGGGAATAATTCCCAGATTCCTGCGCTGGTGGGTCTGGGAACCAAGGGAGGGGCCAGAGGATACCCACATTTCTGCATGGTCTTGGGTTTTACTTGGGGCACCAATGCCGCCTCCCCCATCTCATGGAAGGTATGGCTGATTATCCTGAGCTTTCCCACCCCTGCCCCCAGCCCCCTCCCTCCCCCATGTGCGAGAACGCCAGGCAGGTGATCTCCAAAAGTCTGATTCAGTTGTTTATTGTGTGTGCAGGGTGCAATGCCAGGATCCCCTCCCTGTCCCAGCCATCCCCTACGGGCCCCAGAATGGCAGGGGTGAAGGGGCACCCCACAGAACACTGAGGGTACAGAGGGCAGAAGCAGGCCCTGCCACTTGCCTCGGGGGGCCTGGCCAACTGTGAAGCACCCCTTACTCCTCGCCTTGCTTCTGTCTGTGGGAGACAGAGGCAGGTTACAAGGGGTGGCTCCCCAGAGTGAGGGCTGACTGGGGGCACCTGCCCTGGAGCAGGCACCTCTCTCTACGACTGAGGCCTGGGCCAGCAGGAAGATGTGGGGGCAGGGTACATAGACCAAGGTGGGCAAATGAGGGGAACTGCTCCTCAGGACACAGAGTGGGGTGTTGGTTTGATGTCTTGGGTTCAAATCCCACCTGCAGTGTGTAGCCTGGGCGCTCATGCTGGACACTGGTTCCCCGTTGATAAAAATGAAGATTGTAAACTGAATGTTAGAATGTTCTGGATCCTGCCTCCACCCATGGTAACGCTTCGCAAGACAACCACCCGTGTGTGTGTGTGTGTGTGTGTGTGTGTGTGTGTGTGCAGAACACACACAGTCTATAGATTCATAGGTTACAGGAAGAATGGGAGGAAACTTGCCACAGGGGAAGACTGGCGAGAAGCTGGGGTCCCACCTGGAGGACCTGAAGCCCCAACCACACTCTTCCACCTGGTGGGGTGGCCTGTGCAGTGGAGGCAGCCCCAGGAGCCCAGGCCTGGGGGTGGGAGAGAGAAGTACCAGCCCCGCCCCTCGGTCTTGCCCGGGGCTCAAGCAGGTAACAGACAGGAGTGCAATTTATCACGAACCGGCTGTATTGGAAAAACCCCATCAATCCACAGACACGCATGGCCCTGCCCTGCGCAGCTGGCTGGCTGGGGGCACCAGGTGGCAGGGGCCTGGTGCTGGTTAGGGGCTTAGAAAGGGGCAGAGAGGAGTTTCCCACCCATCTTGGCTGCCTCCTCTGGCCTGCTGGTGCCCCTAGCCTTTGAACTCAGATGGGGGGCTGCGGCCTAGCTCCCTCTGTCCTTGCACTCCCTCCTTCGGGCCCTGGCCATCCCCCTCCCCTGCCCTGCAGAGGTCCCAGAGACAAAAGAATGTGACTGTCCTGCAGATGATTTGCCCAGAATTCCTGCCTGTCCCAATGCCCCCTCCCCCCAAAGTGGGGTCTCTGGGATGTCCCCTTCCCCACCCCAACCCTCTATTCTGGTTTGAGTAAAAGAGGCCACATCTATCTGGGGGGCGCCATGGGTGAGGTCAGGGCAGTCCCTGACCTGCCCTGGGCAGAGCAGAAGACTCAGTTTTTTGGGGGGATGACCCACCTGGGGTCTGGAAACCGGGGCTGAGACGTCCTGGAAGCTGTCCCGCAGGGGGTCAGGAAAACTTTTCTGGCAGGCCAGGGGGGGACCAGGCAGGGGAGTCGGGGGAGGGCAGGGGGAGGGAAGTCCCTCAGATTTTTATCTCTGTCCGGAAGGTCTGCTGGACATGCTCTGTGTGCGGGTGGCGCCGCGCCCGGATGGTGAGGCTGCCGTCCTCTCGGAGGGCCGAGGTCACCGATGTGGGGTCCACGTCCTCCGGCAGCTGACACTTGTGAGCAAAGGTGTTCATGACCGTGCCATCAGCTGCCAGCTGGGGGAGGGGTCAAAGGTCAGGGCAGGTTGCCCCCCCACCCTTCCCGCACTGTCAGGCCACAGCCCCTGCTCAGCAGGTGCTTCTTCCCAGTCCAGCCCCAGCAGGGCCCCCACATTCCAGAGGGGTCTAGTCTCAGGTGCAGAGGCCTGACAGAGAGGCCAGCCATGGTGGGGGGACAGGCAGAGGTGCTTAGAGGCGCTCCAGTGGTGCCCAAGGATGGGCAAGGGGCTTGGTGGGGGGAGCGCACAAAGAGGAGGCCCTGGGCAGAAGCTGGGCCTTCTGAGCAAGAAGGAGATGGCGCAGAGCAGACCTGTGCCCCCGTGGATACCCGGCTGGTCCCTCCCCCACAACCCAGCCAGCACATAGTGTCCAGAGGAGCCTGTGGTGGCTGAGTCATTGGCGGGGGTGGCAGGGCTGGCACGTGCTGTCGGCTTGTCCCGGTGCCCATAGTCCTTGGTTTCCTTGGCAGGGGTGCCTACGCGTCCAGCTCTCGTGCTCAGGGCAGGAAGCCGGGCCGTGGGGACCCAGAGGAAGTCCTGAGCAGACCTCCTAGACCCCGCAGGCGTTGCTATGGCGCCTTCCCTGTTCAGGACACACCACACCCTCCTCAGAGTGCAGGCCCCGGTGACCCATGGGTGGAGGTAGTGCGGGGTTTGGAGTGTGTGTGGCCAGAACTGCAGGACCTTTGCCTTGGGCCCAGGTCAGGGGACGCAGGATGGGGCAGGGCCTCTGGGCCTAGCGGGGGAGGAAAGCTTGAGGGCTGTCATCTGAGGGAACTCCTCCCACCATTGCCCAGGTGAGCTTCCACCTACCTGCCTGCCCGGAGAGCTGGCCTCACTCAACCACAGCCTCCCCTCTCACCTCCCGCTCTGGTGGCCCCGCCTGCATTCTCTCACCCCTCTCCCATCTCCCTCGGCTCCCTAGAGGAAGGATTCCAGAGCCTTGGAGCAGAGAGAGGCAGAACCCGGTCCCCTGCCCACAAGCTCCAGGAGCAAGGTCTCCAGCTTGCCCCAGGGGCTGGGGAGACACTGCTCAGGGCCCGGGGCCTCAGGATGACCCATGGGAGGGGAGACACCGGGAGAGGGGACAGGTGTGGAGCCTGGGGTCCAGGCGGGGTGGCCAGGCTCACCTTCTCGGCCCGCACCTCGATGTGGTTGTTGGAGGTGGTGACGATGATGTCCTCAGGAGAGAAGTCGCTCACGTCCACCGCAAACTCATAGGCGTCTCCCAGGGTCTTGATGTTGCCGGGCCCCCCGGGACGGGCTGTGGGGAGGACCTCAGTGAGCTCAGCACCCGATGGCAGCTTTGCATCCAGAACCCAAGCTCCATGTCTGGGGGGACGGGGGCCCCCCCAGACCTGATCTCCCCCTCAGTACAGCTGTTGAGCTCCTGGCCAGCATCTCCTCACTCTCACCTCCGCCTTTTCCGTGGGGGGCGTGGGGGTGAGCATGGGGCAATGTCTGTAGCGACCTGCCCCCGCCTGGGGTGTCCCATGCCTCCCACCCCTCCACCCACCCACTGTCCAGCGAGGGCCTGGGTGGCCGATCCCACCATCGCGGACCCTCCCTCCAGCCACGAGCATCCCTTGGCGGCCTGTCTGGTGTCACGGCCACCTCGTCTCTGGCCACATGTGTCTCAGGGGCCACACTCGGTGGCTGCAGCTCTGCAGCACCTGCTCCTGGAGGCCCTGAGCCACGGCGGCTGTCGTGGCGCTCCGGAACAGATGTCCCCTACCTGCGTCTTCCCGCCCCCACAGCCGCCAGCACTTGCCTGGGAAGGCCAGGGGCTCTGAGTGAGGCCGCATGAAGCTGCCAAAGTCCTCAGAAAACATGCTCAAGGCCTTCTCCATGGGTGCGTCCTGGGCCGGGAGGGCACGGGAGGCCAGGGAGGACGAGGAGGAGGAGGACGAAGAGGAGGAGTGGAAGCTTCTCTCCGCTCTGAAGGTGGAGGAGGTCCTGTGGCTCATCCACGGGCGGGCGGCCGGGCCCTGGCCAGGCAAGCAGGGAGGACAGGCGGGGTGCAGGCGGCAGGCCTCTGAGGGAGCTTGCCGGGCCCTGACTGCCGGCGCTTTATAAGGCCCAACAGCCCCTGGGCTCAGGGCCAGCCCCTTGTCTACCAGCTAAATTTAGGCCTCTCTGTGGCCCAGAGGGGGCTGGAAATCTTCTCCAGTGAGACGGCCCCGCTGACAGCCCCACACACGCAGGCCGGTGAGGGCTGAGCTCACCGCTGCATTCCAGGCTGATAACTCTAGCCACAGGGCTTGCGCTCCAGGGTGTGTGTGTGTGGGGGGAGCCATGGGGGGCTTGCCTCAGACCTCGGTGCCCACCCTGAGGCCTCCTGTCTGGTGTTTGTGTCTCTGTCTCCCCCGGCCCCCGGGGATCTCGACGGCCTGTGCCTCCCCTGTCAGATCATAAGGTCCCTGAGGACAAGGTTTGCTTTGGTTCCAGGCCTCCCTGCCCCTCAGTTCTAGCCCTTTCTATGAGGATCTGGGTGGTGGGTGATCAGGATCTCAAGCCCCTGGCGTTGGGCAGGACCAGAATTGCCAGGACAGGTCAGGGGTAGGTGGACCATCCACCTGTTGGGCCCAGGAGGGAGACAAGGGCCCGTTCCCTTGGGGCACAGTGTTTACAGCTTTCTCTTAGGAAAGACTGAGACGGCTCCTGGGGGGCAGTGTAGAAAGTGCAGCTGTCCCCCTGCCAGCTCCCACGGGACCTCACTTAGGCCGGCCCTCCCCATCCCTGACTCAGAACATCCCGGGGGGCCGCCTGAGGCAGGGCTGGGGGTTGGGCCTGACTCAGGGAAGGAGGGGAGATAATTTGGTAATTGTCCTTCAAGTTCTAGAAGGTTATGTTTTGGGAACTGTCCTCTTGACCTCCAGCTGCAGGAGATGCTGGAGACGGCAGGGGGCACGTTCTCAGCTGGAGGCAGAGGGGATTCCAGGAGACAATTATTCTAGCCCTGGGAGGTCTCTGGGCACTGGTTCCTGGCAGTGAACGCGGCAGGGTCCTCTTTGTACCACCCCCCGCACCTGGAAGGGGGTGTTATTCCCGTTTCATAGACAGGGAAACGGAGCCTCAAGGAGGAACTTGCAGCTGGGCTAGTGGCAGGGCCAGGGTGCCAGCCCCACCCTGTCTGACTCTCCAGTGACCAACATACGTGGGTGGACATAGGCTGGCCAAGGCCCGAGCAGCCCCTCTCTGCCATCCGGGTCTCGGCAGAGCCGGGACTGACCACGAGGACTGGGTGCGAGCAGGGAGGCCCCCTGGGGAGGACAGTCCCACTGCGGTTGTCTTTGCCCTATGGGGCCTCTGCCTCCTCCCCAGATCAGCTGAGGGGCCTCCTCCCCAGGGAGGTCCCTGAGTGCTGCAGCCCACCCAGGGGCCCCAGCCCACACGCTCACCCCAGCAGCTGGCTGTGTGACATGGTCTCCCGTGTCTGTGACTTCTCTGCCTGCACCCACTTCCCCATCAGACTGGCAGTTCCTCCAAGGTAGGGGTTCACTTATCCCCTCACTACCATGGGGCCTTTTGAAGGTGGGGACTACTTGTCTTTTGTCTGCCTCTCACAGAGCTTCATCCTTGGGGTGCTTCATTATAGGGGTAATTACTGGTGCTGGTGAGCCATGGAAGGGGGGCGACATAAGGCATGTGGGGGCAAGTGAGGGCCAGGGCAGTGGCTGGAGCAAGAGGTCTGTCATTCCAACAGAGGGTCCTGTCTGGCCGAGGGGTTCCACTAGAGCTGCCAGGAGGTTACCAGCAATGAGGCGAGAGGGACAGAGTGGGGGTGGGGTGGGGGGCCCAGAGCCTGTCGCCCGCCAGGGAAACAGGAGCCAGTGGCTAAATGCAGACACTCTGTCATGGTGCAGAGGGCCTGAGTCACCGCTGCTGGATGTGAGACCTTGTCCCTCCTCCCTGCCTCTCTTCCTTTTCCCCTCCCCCCACCCCTGAGCCGTCACCCACACAAACACCGACGGCATCCACTGGCTCCACTGGCCAGGAGGGACCTCAAAAAGTCATCAAGACCATTCTCCTGTCTCTGGCATGCCTCGCCCTACAGATCACAGGGATAGAGGAGCTTCGGAGGTGACCCAGTGCCTTGCACCCCAAACTGCCAGCGCCTCCCACTCACACGGGAGAAATTCCAGCCAAAACAGACTCTTCCCTTTCCCTCCAAGGTTCTGATTGGGGGTCTCAGCAAGGGACTAAGAATCTGTTCTCATCTGCTCCCCACACAGCTCGCCTGGGAAACCCTCCTCGCTCAGGAGGGACTCAGTGAGCCCCTGGCACGTGCTGGTCACTGTCCTAGACTCTGGAGTCTCGTGATGAATGAGGCAGACACAGGCCCCTGCCCAGGGCTCTCAGGGTCCCCTTGCTGGGCAGAGGAGGAGCGGCCAGGCTCAGGGTGAAGGACCTGCTGGACTTTGAGCCTCGCTGTGCGGATGAGGGAGGAGGAGTTGGGGACTGGCATGTGGGGCCGAGGCTTTGGGAGGGACTGGACGTGGGCACCAAGACTCCCTTGCTGCCCTGTCCTGTGCCCGGTGCTCGCAGGCTGGGCGGAGGGTGTGGACCTGCGGTGCCAGCTGCGGGGTTGTGGCAGCAGCTGCCCCGGGCCAGAGACTGGCATTTGGGGTGTCAACAGGGCAGCCACTTATCTAGTTACTGTACACAGTCGATGGGGGGGCAGCCAGAGTGACGTGGGCTCAGTTAGAGCAGTGAGCACCCCCCAACACTTACACACACACACACACACACACACACACACCCTCTGCATCTAGGGGCAGAGGGTGGCTGGGAGTCCCCAGAGGGGGGTCTTTGGGAAGGGGAGGTGGGCAGTTGTCCCAAATCTTCCAAAAGTGACATCAGACACAAATCCTCTGCTTTGTGCTGAAATTCCTGCCCTAACTGGTTAAGTCGGAGAAGCAGGAAGTGTCCAGGTAGAGGGAAGGTCTCGGTTTGGGATCAGCTCCTGCTGGGTGACCTTAGCTGAGTGACTCCACCTCTCTGCTCCTCCACTTATCGTCTGAGAAAAGGTGATGCTGGCCCCGACTCACAGGGTGCTGGGCTCACGATGTAAAGCGCCAGCGCATGCACAGGTGGCAGGTAACATGTGCGTGCTCCCTCGCCATGTCCCCAGCGCCCACTCACCTGTACCCTCTGCTGGGGTGGGACAAAGTCTGTGGCATTTACCCGAAGGCCCCCCGCAGGACCACTGCGCTATGGGTGGTGGAGCTGGTGTGGCAATTTTCTGAAACTGGAGGGGCTGGACACTAGGCTGGAGCCAGGTTCCTCCCACGCCCCAGGGCCCCCCGCTTGGGGGGGCACCTCCTTTATGGTGGGGTGGGGAGGAGCCCCTTCCTCTGGCCCCCACTTGGTTGCTCTGGCCCGCAGGGCTCAGTCAGCCTGGGCAGTTTCAGTTGGTTTGTCAAGGACATTCTTAATGGCCATGGCAAGCCCCACAGGGCCGGGTGGGGGAGGGGAGCCTGCATGCTGATTGGTGGAGCACACACCTGTGCAGGTGCACCTGAGCTGTGGGCAAAGCAACCTCTGTTGCAGGAGGGCGGCTGGGGCCACAGCAGGCCGGACCACAGAGGTGAGCAGCTGCGGGTGCGGGGTGGGAGGGCGGGGCAGCTCCTGGATGGAAGCTGCCGGGAGGGGTGAACCGCAGGGGATGGGCCGGCCAGGCGCTTAGCACCTCCCTGCCACCCTCAGGGGCTCTCCTTGCCTGGGGTTTTTCCTGCTTCTGTGGCCTGCGCTGAGAGGTAGGGATCTCAGGGGTGGACAGGGGCGTCAGAACCATTCTCGGGGTCCCACAGTGAGGCACTTGAGGGGCTGCTCCCAGCAGCGGGCCAGCCAAGTGTCCAGGTAGCACCTCCCTGCCACCCTCAGGGGCTCTCCTTGCCTGGGGTTTTTCCTGTGGCCTGCGTTGAGAGGTAGGGATCTCAGGGGTGGACAGGGGCATCAGAACCACTCTCGGGGTCCCACAGTGAGGCACTTGAGGGGCTGCTCCCAGCAGCGGGCCAGCCAAGTGTCCAGGAAGGGGCAGGAGCAGGGGCCGCAGGAGGGGAGGGGGCCCCGCCATGACCTTGTCCCTGCTGCTGGACACGGCGGGCACAGCTTGGGAGCCGGGTGCCGACCCTGCACATGAACACACACACGCACACCCTCGCGGACACCCTCAGGAGGGCACGTCAGCCCCACAGCCCCTCCTGACGATCACAGGCATGCACGCGCACACACACACCACCACCTTCCCTTCCCACCCGGCAAGGAGCAGTTCTGGAAGGGCCGGTGGCTGGGTAGGCGTCTTAGAGCAGCTCACTGAGGTCTGTCTGTCTGTCTGCTCCATCAGGGACCCCATGGAGGAGCTGGTAGGGCTGCGTGAGGGCTCCTCAGGGAACCCCGTGACTCTCCAGGAGTTGTGGGGCCCGTGTCCCCGCCTCCGCCGTAGGATCCGAGGTGAGAGCTGGGTCCCCGCCCCCTCCCCATGGAAAAGCCCACAGGTCATCACCCCTGCCCAAGCCTCCCCCATCCCCACCTTGAAGTCCAAGAGCAGCCCTCCTCCAGGCATTTGCTTCTGAAGTCACTGCCTGGGGCCCTCGGGGTGGCAGGGAGAGAAGGGATCTGTCTGTCCATCTGTCTGCCCGCGGTCAGGCTGCTAGAGGTCTGCTCTGCCTGTTGAGAGCGCAGCCCATCCCCCGGCCACACTGGCCTGAGTCAGTGAGGACCTGCAGGGGACACAGACGGGCCGAGCAAATGTGGACTTGGCACCTCTCCTGGCGCTGGGCCGGGTAAGCTGCAGGGGGTGGACTGGCCAGGGACACTCAAGTGTCCACCTTGAGACCTGGACTGTCCCCTTACTTGTGGGTAGAAAAGGCAGGGACCTCAGAGGGTAAGAGCAGCCCAAAGGATCAGTTTCCCCGGCCTTTCTGGGGACCCAGGGGTGCTCTCTGGCCTGACACCAGTGGAGTCCTCAGGGCAGCTGCCAGGGCCTGGGAAAGCATAGGGGTATAGCTAGACCCCCTTGCTCTCAAAGTT